GAGCCTCAACTCGCCCTTCGCGTCCAGAACATGCCACAGTTTCAACACATGCCGCGATTTGTCATCAGCGCTCACCTCATCGTTCAACCTCAGCACTCTGTCGAAGTTGATTGACAGAGTCACGCCCCTCCACGACGTCGCTTTGGGGGCGGGATATGGAACCCATTCCCCATTGACTTTGAACGCGAAGCACGACGCTCCTCCAACGATACCCGGTTGAAGACAACCAGGCACCCAATTGATGTCATAGGGGAAGAGAGTTCCTGCTGACATCCTGACCACATTTTCGTCTGCAACAACACACCATGCATCATTCTCACTGGCCTCACCATCCGTCATCATGTCTGCAGTCTGCTCACAAATTGCCGTAAGGACCACTGCACAGTCTGTGGTGTTTGCTCCGACCGATATCCCTTCGTTGCTGACAACTGCGATACCCTTGACGATGTCCTGGGTCCCCATCGCGCATGTCTCCACGCCGTTGACATTCGATTGAATCGCAGACTCCATCTATTGCATGACACATCACATACATTTATGAGAAGCCCTAGCAGCGACGTGGCCCCCTCACCAGAGAGAGAGAGAGAGAGAGAGAGAGAGAGAGAGAGAGAGAGAGAGAGAGAGAGAAAGTGAGAGAGGGAGAGTGAGAGGAGAGAGAGAGAGAGAGAGAGAGAGAGTGAGAGGTTGACTATTGCGGGTCAGAACGAGAACAACCAGCAGCGGTGTGCACTTACATGGCCCGCAGTAGTCAACCTCTCTCTCTCTCAGGCAGACATACACTGCGTTAGAGGGCGGTTGGCTACTGCGGGCCGTTGGGACAACAACCAGCATCGATACACACTGACATGGCATGCAGTAGTCAACCTCACCCAGCTGGAAAAAAAAAAAAAAAAAAAAGTGGCACCAGCGCGAGGTTGACTACTGCGGGCCAGAACGAGAACAACCAGCAGCGGTGTACACTTACATAGCCCGCAGTAGTCAACCTCGCCCATACAAGCAGACATACACTGCGTTAGAGGGCGGTTGGCTACTGCGGGCCATCGGGACAACAACCAGCATCGGTACACACTGACATGGCATGCAATAGTCAACCTCACCCAGCTGGAAAAACAGAAAAAAATGTGGCACCAGCGACAGGTTGACTACTACGGGCCAGAACGAGAACAACCAGCAGCGGTGTACACTTACATGGCCCGCAGTAGTCAACCTCGCCCATACAGGCAAACATACACTGCGTTCCGGATGCAGTTGG